CCTTCCTAGGCCAAGGTCCGCCCGTGTCATTTCAAACTTCAATTACTGCAGGATGCTCCAGCCTTTTTTCCAAGCCCGCCCCTTTGGGCTTCTTCCCCTGTTCTGTTACCCCTTTGGCGGCCTAATCGCTGTGGGGCCCTTCAGCAAGCCACTGACCCCCTCTGTGCCTCGCTGTTTCTCCCCGCTCCGCAGGTCGGGCAGGGCTGCGCTTGCCCCCACCCGAGGGTGCAGCAGATCCCAACGCCCCCTGGGGCCGTGAAGCTGCCCGCAGCAAAGCCTCTGAGCCTTCGGTGGCTCGGACCGGCAGGCGGGCGACTTTTGTCCTAGTTCACTCTGCTCTTGTCAGAGCGGTTTTGTTTCTTCTCACACTTGGGAAATATTGCGTTTCACAGCTCTGTGTCAGCAACAGAACAACCTGGCTGCCTGGATTGCCAGCAGGGAGCAGTCGGAGAAATTAATTTACTCACTGCCGTTTCGCCGAGAGCCACTTGAGCTGTGGGCCATCGGGGGTTCTGGCAGCAAATGGCACTTCGCCGTCAGGATCCAAGGCTGTGGGAACATTCCTGTTGCCTTGGCGCCGTGGCAGAGGGGCCCAGGGCCGCGTGGATGGGGCAGAGGCACTGAGAGCCCTGGGGTGACTCAGTGCCAGCCCTGGGAGCTAATGCTCTCAGACTGAAAACCTCCTTCACAACAACAGCACTAGCAGCAGCAGGGAGGGCCGCGGCGGGCACTTATGGGACACTTGCCGTGTGCCAGGCACCGTGCCAAGCGTTGTATGGGCTTTAGTTTGCTGAATCCTCACCATCTCCCTAGGAGAGAGGTATCTCGCACCCATTTTACAGATGCGGAAACTGAGGCTTAGAGAGGTTAAGGCACTGGCTCAAGGTCCCATAAGTAAGAGGCAGGGGTGGGGTTGAGGGCTGGCTCCACCTGCAACAAACCCTCTGGCTAATAGGGTATTTGAGGTGCTAATCGCGGCTTCAGGAGGACAAAGGGGTCTGAATGGGGCCCTTCCTCGGGGTCCCTGGCCCCACCCGCCTCTGACCCATGCCTCCTGCCACAGCTGAAGGAGCACCCGGAGAAGGGAGTGTACGTGAAGGGGCTCTCCATGCACACGGTGCACAGCGTGGCCCAGTGCGAGCGCATCATGGAGAGGGGCTGGAAGAACCGCTCGGTCGGCTACACCCTGATGAACAAGGACTCCTCGCGCTCCCACTCCATCTTCACCATCAGCATCGAGATCTACGCTGTGGGTATGTGCAGCCGGAGGGGCTGGAGGGGCTGGAGGGGGCCGGGGGACCTGAGCCGGGATCCCGCTCCGAGTCGCCCGCCAAGACTCTTCACCTCTCGGAGCCTCTAGGGCCCCGCGACACTGGGAAGGATGCTCAAACTGCTGTTGGGAGCACTGGGGCCCCTCCCGTGCGAGGGCCCATGCTTCCGGATGAACAGCAGCATCAACAGCAGTCATAGTCCCCGCGGCTGCGCATGACTACCCGCCGCGCTCTGTGTGTGTCTATGGCCATGGGTGGGGCTGCCGGCAAGTGCGTTACTCGCGGCCGCTTCCCACCAGCCCTCCGCCAGGCGTGCGCAGTTTCCAGGGCTTCAGTCCACGTAATGCCAGCGTGAAGCCTCTGTGCACCAGACATCTGCTCTTAGACCCGTTCGCTCAGATTAGGTTCCTTGGGGTAGACCTGGAGCGCAGGGCACGCACCGGCCTAAGGCTCCTCCCACAAAGAGCTCTCCGAAAGGGTGCTTCCAAGTTCCTCCTCCT